ATGAGGTGCAGAATCATCCATCATGGATCCTATGTTCCAATTCCTAAATCTTAAGAATACAGAGCTGTGTCAAAAGTGTAACATCCATTCCTCTACACTGTGTATGTCAAGATTCCCTTGAGAAATAAGCATTTAATCTACAGTTGATCCTGTGAAGCTAACCAGCACTATGAGACTGTTTTTACTGGGTAGCTGCAGATACTGATGAATATAGAAGCACCATTTGGTAGAGGTTTTTACATATCCAAAGTTTTAGACACGATCCAACGCTGAACTGTGAAAAATCCTACCCACACCTGAAGAGCATCAATTATGTTATTTTTAAGACAAAGAGACCCGAGATCAGTCAGTTCCGACCCAGTGATGGTTAGACCAAATTCAAAATGCAGCTGACTCAAAAAGACCAAAACAGCGAAAGACCGAGAAACACTGATGACAGCTTAATGCTACAAGAGAAAACACATTTTTCTCCTGCAATGATTATGATTCACATGTGGATAATCCAAATCATCCAGTTATCTGACAAAATGACACAGACACTCAAGACACACCTGATGAAATTGGACATAATATGGGCCGAGGCCAACTTGGGTTCCAGGTTGAATTACTAGTAACCCAGTGGGCTCCTTAAGACCTCTGTGCTGCAAAAATGGTGGTGTCTCACTGAGTAAATGAAAACCAGGACAACTAGGTGTAGTTGCAAAGTGGTCACTACATGAAGGCACAAACCAGACTTGCACCAATTTATCGGCAGTGCTCGGAATCGGGCCGGTTTTCACGTGACTGGCCCTGACCTGCAACCGGCCGGTGAGTCTAAAATATGCCGATTTAAAACGCCGGTCAAATTCCCAGCGCACCACATGATTGACATCCTGTAACATCAGCAGCACACACACACGCACATGTGCAACTCATGGCTTGGGCAATGTGAGGAAGTGAAACATGGGTGGCTTCTCACCCTTAATCATTCACGCACGCACACACATCAAAAGAGAGAAGGAGAAAGTTAATTGTCCGTGTTAAACGTAACTGTGGAGCTCTCACTGCTGCACTGTGCCGCTTGAAACTGACAAGACGCGTGTCCGCGTGGTTACTGGTGGGTGCGTCCTAAAGACCTGTGTGAATTTTCCACAGGAGATATTTTTACATTTTGTCTATTCAAGAAATTACCCACAAATGCTATACACCAAGAATTATTATTGTATTTATCTATGCCTTTATTTATGTATGCCTTTTTTACTTATTTATTTTAATACTGTATCTGAAGTTATATTTGAGCAAAAAAGAAAATGTTTCTTAACCTGTGTCACTGTTTTTGTTTGTTTGTTTGTTTGAGATGATTATTGAAAGCTGGCTGTATCTTGGTTAAAATGTTCTAATAAAGGAAAGATAGAAAATATTGCAATATCTTGTGTGCTGTAAAGTGATTTGAAAAAAATTAAATCGGAATCGGCCAAAATTGGAATCGGCCATCCAAACACTCTGCAAATCGGAAATCGGTATCGGCCCAAAAAATTGTAATCGGTGAAAGTCTAGCACAAACACCAGTAGTTTCAATAGTAGCTCTGCATCTTACGAAAAGAACCATGACTTAAGCTCATAGATTAATTAAAAGAAGAAAAAACAGAGAAAGGCTTTAAGGTAATCCTAAATCTTCATCAGGCTTTAAGATTAAAACAAAAATCTGAATAATTTTTCATTCAGCAGGAATGTCCACAACATTTTCAGCTCTTCAAATCAATTTGCAATTAGTTGCAAACATGGGAGAGCAGAGGACATTAAAGTCCTTTGGCTTATTTCAGTCTGAACCATAGGGACACTCAGTAATATCAAAATGCTCCAAGACAGCAATTTCCACCTAATTTCTAATATCATTGTCTCTGGAAGGACTCAGGTGGAGGCTGATACGGGCAGCAACAACAAACAACAAGACAATTCTAGCAAACAATTCCTCATGCATGATGTAACCCTTAATCACCATATTGGGTGTGTACCCCAGTAAGAACTGGTTGTGATCTCTAAAATAGCTCTCTGTCTCATGATCTGTTTTGGGGCATTTCTAAATAGGGCAAGTATTCTGACAGCATTGCTAGCTGATGCATTAACTAAACTCATCACAGCACACTACACACTAGTAGTTATCACTGCTATAGAAATACGAACACCTATTTATCTTGATTGAGGAATACTGTAAAACTTCAATTAGTAGCCCTTATTATTAGCTATTGGCCATTAGCTATTATTTGCTTACATCACTCAACTCAACAGGCTTACATTAGGGACACACATCTGAACTAAACACAAGAAGTAAGGAAATTTGTGTTTGGTAGATTATTTCTTTGTTGTAACAATGCTTTTGGCATTAAATCTTATACCGCTGGAAAGCCTGTTCATTTCCATTTTAAATGGTGCACATTTGTAAGGAACATGCATTTGTGGGATGAGCAGCAGAGCTGAGTATGTGGATTATGCCCATGAAAAAATTGCCAAATCCTCTCTGCCAACAGCTTTTTTTTTTTTTGTTTGTTTGTTTGCTGTTGACTCTTGTTTGGTTTTGTTTGGTGGATTGGATGATTGAAGTCTGAAAAAACAAGACATATTGGCAATTTCACAATTTATTCATTTACCAAACAGGAGCCTCAGTAGCGTGTGGAAGAACCATACACAGCCACAACAGCCTGGCACCTCCTCTTCATGCTGGTCACCAGCCTGGTCACACACTGCTGTGGGATGGCATCCCATTCTTCAACCAGCATATGTCACAAGTCAGCCAACATGGTTGTGTTGGTCACTCTGGCACGAACAGCACGCCAAAGCTGATCACACAAGTGCTCAGTGGGGTTGAGGTCAGGACTGCTGGCAGGCCAGTCCATCCTCTCCACTCCCAAATTCTGGAGGTAGTCTCTGATAAACCCTGCTCTGTGGGGGTGAGCATTGTCATCTTGGAGGATAGAGAAACCTACATACTCAGCTCTGCTGCTCATCCCACAAATGCATGTTCCATACAAATGTGGCACCATTTAAAAGGGAAATAAACAGGCTTTTCAGTGGTATAAGATTTATTGCCAAGAAGCATTGTTACAACAAAGAAATAATCTACCAAACACAAATTTCCTTATTTTTTGTCCTTAGCTTATATGGGACAGGCCTTAAATTCCTATTACACAAAACTGTTGTACAGCAAAGATGGGAAATACAATCAAATAGTTTAACTGAACCAGTATGAATATTACTTGTATAAAAATTAGGCTTTGAATAACATAATGTGTTATGTTATGACATTTGTTTAGGTTAACGATAAAACCACTTTATCCTGTTAAAACAATATCATAGTATGTCATAATTAGTTTTTATGAAAAACACTTGTGATTCTTTTGATCAGTGGACCCTTACGGACTAAAGGAATATAAATAACTTACCGGGTAATCGAGAAATGGACACATATTCTGACATGATGACAGCTTCAGAGGTAAGGAGTCACCACTTGTTTTTTTGTCATGCTGGTAAATCTGAATGACTTAGGGTCCTCTCTGGTGCTCATGGTTTCAGTAAAATGAAATCAACCAAGCAAACGATATGTAACATCTCCATATTCATATTTGTATGTGCAATCTAAACAGCTTACTCACATTAGCTCAAGTGGGGACTCAACAATCTGGTACAGGCCTTTATTTGTCAAAATGTATAGCCATACCAGGATAGTGAAAGAGACTGGGCGTTAAATTGGGACTGGGCTTTAAGTGAAGTTTTACTGTAATGTTAGTGCCGAGACAACTTTTCTATAGCAGCAATTAGTTCCCTAAAGTGGTAACATTTCATGGAGTAATCAACTTGTCTGACACATCAAGCTCATTTGTTTGTAATTTGCTTATTTACCTGTCTTCATATGTTCTTCCAATGTGAACACAACATTACCATGAAACATCCACTTGTCAAGCCAGATAAACCAAACCTGCACTGATATCACTGCATCAGTGCCTATAATTTACTTCAAAGCAAAACACTACACGGTTACCTCACTGTCTCAGTGACTCAACAGCAAACTCCACCTCACTGAGTGGTTTTGTGGGAACAACTCAAGTTCCAGTCATGGGCATCTGCAAACCATTTGGGCATTTGAACATTAAGGGCTCATTCTGTCATGGCAGTACAATACAGATCCATTCCAAAGCAACACTGAAAACAGACAATTGCTTGTTAGAAACCAGTTTACTGCTTTACTCATCTCTGGAAGCACCAGGTATTGGAAATTAAAGGTTGCCAGCATTCATTTGGGCATATTTACATTTGCTTTTTGGTGCCATTGCCTCACCATTTCTTGTCAAGACCACAGACAAGCAGACATATTCAGTGTTTGAGGTCCCTTTTTCTGGTCTTATGGGCTTGTTCAGAAATTTGTGGAAAACACAATCAAGGTTGATCATTTAAAGCATTAACTCTACAGTATAAGTCATGGGTCATCCTTATAGAACACAGCACTAACATCCCAAATTCCCATCAGCTCACATTCATTTTCATCCTGGCCCAAGATGCAAATAGTGTGTTTGTTTGAAAAGTGAATCATCAGTCATTAAAAAAAAACAAAGGTATAGACAAAAGTTGCAGCAAGAACTAAGCAACAGAAATCGAAATTCTCCTTTAGCGGTTGAAGAAATGTTGAGAGAATATGCTCAAGTGATTGAAATGATTGTTTGGTTTCAACTGGCTTAAGTGAACTGCAGCAGGGTAATCGTTAGCCGTGTGCTCTGGCATGGCAACGTGTTTATAGCATGAATTACATTTGATTGCGTGCTCTTAAATTAAATCTGACTGGTGCTGGCCTCTGAAAAAACAGATTAGCTCTGCCAGATATGTTGTTACTGAAAGTCAGAATGAACATTCTGTTCATGAAACACATACTTGACAATTACCCACAGTTTTTGTTAACGACACTAAACAAGCACAAGTTATTACAACCTGGCTATATTATAAAGTTTATAGGAAGGCGACTGACAACTTACAGTTGGCTTGCCCACAGCAACGCAGCAGCTTTCAGTGTTGTTCTCTGCTCTGTGGCCCGATATCCAACTCTCCACACAAAGCCTGTTGACAGACGACATTTAGGCTATGCAACTTAATGAGGTCATCATTAGTACTGAAAAGGACATTAAAATGGTGACATGCAGAAAATCAGTGAAAAAAATATAAACGATATCCATGAAAGCAGAGATGCAGCATATCGTCTAGTTTTTACTGCTAGGATAGAAAGTCACTATATTCACCTGATATAACATCTTACAATCACAAGTTCTCTGAGGCATCAGTATCAGTGGTGAAGCAGAGGCTGTGTTCAATGAATCAGTCTGCTTCACATGCCACAAATGATATGTTTAAAGGAGCTATTCTATATTTTTCCTAAAGACAACAAATCACAAGAAAAGACCAAAAACGTGTTAGTGCACCTGTCAATTCTCCTAATCTGTCTGTAGCTCTCAGCCCCAAGACAACTGGTTATTACTGAAGACACAAATGTTTCAGACTTCACACAAATATTTAGTAGAATATTCCCTTTTTTAAAATGCTTGCCAATTTCCTAAAACAGCTTGGCACAGTAGTTTTTTATCAAATGTTACTCAAACAGTAGGAAAGAGTGCTTTCCTGGGGACTATTTTCAGCAGCGCATTAATCCACATTTGGTTCTCTAGTGACTATTTGGGGCAGCAGGTCGGTGTATGTGGGATTGAGTCAAAATAAACCACAGTGTGTGTGTTCAGGGTAATAAAGGAGCATGAAAGCCAGTGCAACAGTGTGGCTCACTGATGTGTTCTAATAGTTAGAATAGTTTTTTGGACAACAATTGAGCTCTGTGGCACAGAGGAATAAAATCAGACTTTGACACACACACACACACACACACACACACACACACACACACACACAATAGGCTACTTGTGAGTATTTGATAAAATTAGAATTTAGAGAATAACACCAGCCTTATTCTTTAATAAAATGTACTTGTGGGGCAGTAAACATCCTGTGTAGCGGAGACTGAATGCCAATCATGAAGCAGAAACTGATATAACTTGAATTCAATGCCATTTAAAGATTTTCTTAGATTTTAGGAATATAGATGCTGTTTGCAATACTTACAATGTTGTCACTGTCTCCTCCACCTCCGTGTGCATGTGTGTGACAACCATGTGTTGTATTCAGCTAGCATTAAAATGAAAGTTAGTGGTGTAGTGAGAAGAAAGATCAAAAATAAGATTTAGTGTTGACAGATTGTTAATAGATTGGTAAATTAATTTTTGTTCTCTCTGCTCCATACTGAACCTTCCATTGTAATGGCCATGTGTCCCACATTTTGTTGATTGGCTAACAGATGTTTACATCTTTTCTTGAAATATTAATGATTAAATAAAATTTCTGATTCAGAGTTTCTACTAAAATCTACCAAGTAGTTCTTTTTGGCCTGCTTGAGGTAATGTTAGGTTTTAATGTATTGGGTGAGGTTATTTTAATTCAAAAACACTTGTTATCATAAGTAATAAGTATAATAGTAAGTAATGAGTATCATCAATGACATTACGAGCTAGATAAAAAAATAAAAATAAAAATTAAAAAAAAAACATTCGGTAGAATTCTGCAGATTTTCATTTTGGAGATAGCAGATTCTGTTTGAGCCATTTACACACTATTCCAGTTGTGGTGTGTTATTTAATGGTGTTATATTACAGTTTGCCTACTACATGTTACTGACACACAAATTCCTGTTAGTGGTTGACTGTATCCTCATCACAATGTTATATAGTATTGGCGTCTTGTTTTGCACTACATCATTCCCACCCACTATGATAACATGTTACTTCCCAGTTTGATTGCCGATATCTAGGGACATACCAAAAGCAAAAGGCTAGGCAAAACAAGAGGTCAGATAACCGCACAGGTTTTGAACATTTAAACCAATAAACTCTATTCCTCAGAAGACTGTAAAGAAGAAGCTCTGGAAAAAAAGCTAGTGAGCAGATTGTAACATTTTAAAGACATTTAAGAAACTGCTGTTTTCAAGGTCAAGAATTAACTTTCATACCACCACCCATCCATCCATTATTCAAAATGATGTGTCCATTGCATTGTCAAACTTTGGCTGAAGGCTGAATTTAAAAAAAAACAGCTCTGAAAAATCGTCAGTAAATTAATCTCAACTCGGATTGGTTGAGTACTTAAAGGTTTGTGGTACATTTTAATATCAGAGTTTGTATATAAATGGCCAGAAATTAAATTTAACTTCAACTAATGTCATTAACGTCTATCACTTTCATGCCATGCCACTCCCCATCACTGCAAACAAAGTGCTCCTGATTATATTTTTCAATGACATAGGTGAAAACAAGGAGGTCAAAGAGCCACTGTGACTCAAATTCCTTCGAGCAATTGACTGGCTGGCCCTGTCTGAGCCACACGGGGCATAGCGCAGAAGAGAGTTATGGCGCACATGCAAAAGATTTAAGTTCAATCAAGCATTCAGGGCTGGACACCTGATCTTTCGCTTAAAGCTCCTCCAGAACAGTGGGAGTGTGGTCGGGCCTCACAGCAGGCCGCTACCTCCAGCAATCTGCTAACACAGAGCCTCTGAAGGGTTGGTATTTATCCAGTCCTGCACAGCTCAGTGGGGACTACTGTGTGTGTGGTAGGTACCACCAGAGGCCCCAAGTGGATGGGAGGGGGGTTGGAATGAAAGCTGTGGAGATTTAGGAAGGAGAGACGAAACATTTCTTCTTTTTCAGAGTTTTATCAGTCTCCCTTGAGGTGGAGCAAGTGAGAAAACAATAAAAAGTTAATACACTATCCCACTGACATGCACATTTTGAGGAAACTCAATTAGGAGTGTTTACATCATCTGAGATGTCGCAAATAAAGTGGTTCATTGAGCATGGAATAGATAAATATCCGAAGACTGTGAGAAAATTGCAGAACTATTGTTTGAAGATTTCTGAAGAATTAGTGTTATACAAGTCGCTGTTGCTCGTTGGTTTCGGCCATTTTTCACACTCTCAACTCAAAACTAGAAGAAGGAATGTGCCTGATGATTTTAATACACTTATTAACAGGAGCTATGGTACATGTGGAATGTATTTGATGTCGAGATTTTAGAAAACAAACTTTGGTTGAAATTGTCATTTATTAAACAAATTATCCAATCTAATATACCTCACACTTTCTTTTCATTACCATATTCTCAATTCAACTCCTCCTATCATACTATAAATGAACATTCTTTATTTAGAGAGAAATCCAGCTATAGTATTGGTTGAACCTGGCTTTATTTCCACTAGGCTCTTTCATTACAATAAAAGATTTGGAGCTCAACCTCTGAAACAAAATAGGGAATGTTAATGATAGTAAAGACAAGCCCAAAGCCCAAGAAAAGGAGAAAGTGTTTAGGATGTAGCTTGAGTTTCCCTGCCAAACAGCCCCCTCAGACCATGGGAGATTTGGGTGAGAGCATTTCTTAGGTTTCTTTCAGCCACAAAGAAAACATTTTAGCCTCTCAGTAATCCTTCCCGAAGCCCTCCCTAAGCTCAGAGGGCCCTTCCTCCCTCGGTCATCCCTCCAGCCCCGTCTGGGATCCTAGAGGAGCGTCTCCGTATACTGAAGCACCACCATCTCGCCATGACCCCTCTGGGACCCGGCTGACCTTCCTGTTGACGTCAAAGTAAACCAGAGTGGGAGCCGGTGCAGCGAGGGGCTCCACCCAGGGGGCTGGAGGTCTAATCACTGTTTTCCTCACAAAAGCCACAGAGGAAACATTAGCATTCCTGTATCTGCCCAACATTACTCACACTACAGCCTCCACATGTGCATACAGGTACACATATACAGCCAGTGGTAAGTAACGCAGTCAGTTTACTTACTATTTCCATCCTCTGCTACCATAATACTTCTACTCCACTAAGAAGCAAATAATGTACTTTTTACTCCCTTACATTAATCTGACAGCTATAGTTACTATGCAGCTTAAGATTTTACATGCAACATTTAACCATCCTCTAAACATCAAGTATTGTTACAGAACAGTTCAGTTCCATGTCGGCTTTATTGTCCCAACAGAGGACATTCTTTTTGCTGCAAGACAGCAAAAAGCAAACAAACAAAAAAAACATACATACACAATATCACAACAGACATAATTAAAAGTGCTGGTATCATAAATCCAATAAAGTGTGCAATAAGAAGTTCATGTGGGCCCCTGCTTTTGGCCACAGACAGAGCTCCCAACTGATAGACGTACCCAACAGTATATTATCATTTATAGACCTTAAATCAGGGGCATCAAACTTACGACCCACAGGCCAGAACTGGCCCGCCAAAGGGTCCAATCAGGCCCTCTGAATGATTTTGCACACCTAATAACAATGCACTTATGAAGGCTGAGACATGCCAGATTTCAGGAAGTTAAACAGTGAATAGCCTACTTCATGTAAAATGCTACTTCACAGGCTTTTCATCCTGACCACAGGACAGTTCTCTAAAACAGTAAATACTTATCTTTTGCAAAATACTGTTAGTCAGCAACTTCAGTACTAAAGAATCTGTATCAGACCTCTATCTTAAAACAATATTGGTAGAGCCCGGTTGCTGAGGCACTGCAAAAACATTAAATTTGTAAATCGTTTGTAAAGGAGGGTTTATAGTTGTGCCTACACCATGGCCTACGCTGTAGCCTACGCACACAGTGTTGCCACCTCCTCAGTAAGGAAAGTAGCTATTGGCTGTCCTAAAAGTCGGTAGAAGTCACTAAATGACATCATCACCAAATTTGCATAATTGGCCATGTGCATGTAATTGTAATGGATGCTGTAGGAGAGAGGAATAATGTCATGGTAGAGACAACAAGTGACTAAAACACCCTGAATATGTTTAGAACTACAAATGAACTTTCTTTCAGTGATTTATTTTAGACAAAGAAAGTTTTACATTTACATCCCGCCCTGACTGTAAATGTGATTCATCTGCATTTGTCTGTACATGGTGGGGTGAACATCTCCTGCTCTGACTGCAGCTGGGAGGGAATGCTGTGCGAGGACTGGGCCGCCTGTGAG